CAGGGACTGGAGGGACGGCTCAGTGGTTAAGAGGACCCAGGTTTTTTTTCCAGAACCCATATGGTAGCTCCCAACTGTCTGTCACTCTCATTACAGGGGATCTGATGTTCTCATCAGGACAGCAGGCCCGTACATGACACACAGACATGTAGACAGTCAAAACAGCCATAGAATAAAAGTAATTTTTTTTTTAAAAAAAAAAAACCTGATTCTATCTCAGAGAAAGCGCTGATGCTCCGCCGTATTTCTTGTCTGTGGCTGCGATTAAATACCCTGGCGACAGCAACTCCAGGAAAGGCAGGGTTTTTCCTGCCTCACAGTTCCAGGTTTCAGTCAATTAGGGTGGGGAAGTCAAGGCAGCAGGAGCTGGAAGCAGCTGGTCACACTAAGTCTGCACTCAGAAGAGAGCAGGAATCCAAGCCTGCTAGCGCCCAGCTCACCTTCCACGCAGTCCAGAATCCCCTACACAAGGAATAGTCCTACTGACCCATGGACTTTCCTACATCAGTTCACTGAGATAATCTCCCATCCACTTGCACAGAGCTGAACTCAACCCACGTTGTGCTCAGAGGCCAGTCTCTAAGGTGATTCTAGGTTCTGGCAAATTCCCTTCTAGGTGAGGAAGCTCTTTTCTTTCCAGGTTAAGATCCTGGAGTGAGTGTATTATATTATACGTTTATGTTAATGATCCGTTGAACCGCCAGCTCGCCCCTATACTATCTGGTCTTTCTCTCTCCAAACTCTGCCTGCTCAGAGAGTCTCTGAACAAAGGAAAGGTGCCAAAAAGCCCAGTTCTGAAATCTAGGTGGCTGCTGCAGCTTCCTCTCCTGATGCCACCAGCCACCTGAGTTCCCATCTGAGTGCTCAGTTTTTGACTTATACTTGGGCACAAACCCAGCTTGGGGCAGACACCTCATCACCCATTCGACTAGAACCTGTGAAATCTCCTGCTTTTGTTTGGGGGTGCAACTTCTCTGGCCGCGATCTCTGGGGCTGGAGAACCCGCACAGGAGTTGCTCTGCTCATTGCTCAAATGTACGTGTTAAATTTTCCATTTCAGCTTGCTGCATCAGCGGAGAAACTTATTATGGGTGGCAGGTTGGCAGAAAACCTAATAGTGAGAGCCTACATAAGAATAATTAGTTCTGCCTGTTGTGAGTTGTGTGGAGGGTAGGGATTTAGCTTCTAGTTCATGTGGGCTTGTGGGGGGCAGTCAGATCCCCTTGAAGTATAACATATCCTGTTATGTAAGGGGCTTCCTTTAGGGCACTACCAGTCTGGGGCCTTTTGCAGGGGATAATCGAAGATATGAGCAAGATTGAAGGAGATCTGAGGATGCTGAAGGGTGTGGGGGGAGAAGTGTTACTGGGTTGAGGGATGGGCATGGTTCATACACTGGTTGGGATCTAATATGTAAGCATGGAGAAGCTGTACCCTAGATGGGGGAGCATTGGGATAGCATGACGGCTGATGAGGTCCTTGAGTGACTGTGTAGTAATGATGTGGAATTCCCCTCCATATGCTGTGAATACCATTGGTTAATAACGAAACTGTCTTAGGCCTGCACAGGGCAGAATAGAGGTAGGCAGGGAAAACTAAACTGAATGCTGAGGGAAAGAAGGTGGAGTCAAGAGATGCTATGTAGCCCCGCCAGAAACAGACTCTGGATGGACGGAATTTTTCCCATAAGCCACAGCCACGTGGTGATACACAGATTAATGGAGATGGGTTAAATTGAGATGTAAGAGCTAGCCAATAAGAAGCTAGAGCTAGTAGGCCAAACATTGATTTAATTAATACAGTTTCTGTGTGGTTATTTTGAGTCTGGGCAGCCGGGAACGAACAAGCGACCTCCTACTACATAGAAGGAATGTGTAGGAGGCTATGAAATGAGATTTTCTTTGCCTCAGGGGCAAGTAACTGGGGTCTGGAGGCAGAGCGGCCAGCCTCTAGCCACCATATCTAGCTGTTTGGAGAAACAGGCTATGGGGCTATATGTAGCCCCCTTTTTGGCAGAGTATTGCAAAGGTTTGTCCTTGGTCAGCATGTACAGAGACAGGCAGGCTTACATAGGTCTGTAAGTGCCAGCATTAAGGCGTGTGAAAAAGTGGACTTCAGTCGGTTTATGGGGCAAAGGAGGGATTGGGGAGACAAGAGTGGCTCCTCCAGGAGTCTCTTAGTGGCTTCAAAAAGAGGCTGAGCAGTAAGGGAGAAGTTAGGGATCCATATATGGAAAACATTAAAGAGGCCTAGTAGTGCAAGCAGTTCACACCTGGTTTGTGGCATGAGGTGGACAAAGAGTTCCCCTGCCTGGGTACAGTGATATTGGGAGGCCCAGATAGACGACTGATCGCTGGTAGATCTGGGTCTTTGTGTTAGGAGACCCTACAACCTCAAGAGGCTAAAGAGTCAAGAAGGGTTGCCGAGTGTCATCTACATGCTAGAGAAGGAAACTGGGAGGTAAATCTAGTTTGGTGAGGTCCTTTTGTAAGGCCTGGCCAAAGTAATGACAGTTGTCTTGGAATCCCTGGAGCAAAACTGTCCAGGTGAGTTCTGAGCACGCAGTGTCTCAGGGTCCTCCCAGGGGAAAGGCAGAAAGGGGTTGGGAGGACAGGTATAAGGGGAAGTGATGAAAGCATCTTTAAGGTCAAAGACGGGAAGCACGCGCCTATAATCCCAGCACTCAGGAGGCAGAGGCAGGCAGATCTGTGTCTAAGGCCAGCCTAGTCTACAGAGTAAGGTTCAGGACAACCAGGGCTACACAGAGAAACCTTAGCTCAAAACAAACAACAACAACCACAAAGATGAAAGACAAGGTAGCAGAGAAAGATGGAGGGGAGTGGTGACTATGGAACAGCAGCCATGGGGAAAGGGGAACAATGGCCTGGTTGGTCCTCTGGAGGCTCTGGACTAGGCCATAAGAACCAATGGGCTTTTTGACACCTGGAATAGGGATGCTATGGGGAGATCAGGGGGAAGTTAAAAGGGTCACTTGTTGTAGTCCCTCAGTGATAGGCGTAGGACCATGGCGAGTGGTGGGGATGGGAGGATATTGGTCCAGAGCAACAAAGGCAGAAGGGTCTCCCAGGTGCTGAGGACAAGGTTGTGATGGCCAGCCAGGGGTCTGAAGTGTCCCAGACTAGAAGGTTGACCAAGGGCAAGAGGGTACGGGTGGAGGTCTGGTTTTGGGTGGTTTGGGGGATACCTCCTGAGTCCAACCTAAGGAGAAAAATGGTGGATGTTCTCAGGGGAGAGGAATATATGGAAACCTTAAGCTTAGACAAGAGATCCCAGCCTAAAAGTGGGAGTGGGCATTGAGACATTAGGACAAAAGCTTAGATGAGATTTCTGTTGTCAAACTGGCAGATTAAATCAGGTGTACAGAGTGGATTATGAGGGAATTCCTGAGACTCCTGTTATTGCTAAGCTAGTAGTTTTTTCTTGGCCCATGCCACTTGGCGAGTAAAGAGAAAGAAAGCCCCGTGTTTAGTATAAGAGAGAGGATTCCACCCGTCTTCCAGCGGCCAGTTTTGTTGCACTGAAAGCAAGGGCAGAGGTGAGAGGACACTGACCCTCCTTCCTTGGGACAGCAGGTGGTGAGCTGGGCTTTGTTTTGTTGAGAGTCGCTGCTGGGAATGGGAAACCCGCATGGCATTGTCGCCTGTCCTCATGAGCTCTTTCTTTCCCCTTTTTGACCTCATCCTCTCTGTTGGTAAAAGTTTTTAAAGCCACATCCAGGAATCACGTTGAGGAGTTAGAGGTGCCTTTTGTAATCTTTAGAGCTTGTGTCTAATGTCTGGGCTGATTGACTTGGGAAATACATTAGTTTACTTTGTTATTGCCTCGGTGAGGCGGGTTAAGCGAAAGTGCCCTGAGTGACCTCTTGTAGTGTGTCAAAGTTAACTCTAGAGTGAGCACTATGTTGCATGCTCTCAGCTAAATAAGTTGCAAGTCGCTGCTGCCAGGTGTTCTGTCCTGGTGTCAGCATGCTGATAATTCCAACTGGGGTCCCTCAAAGGGACTGCCTCGTGTCATTTTGTTGATGATGTTTATCTGTGTGGTCCCTGGCTGCTTTCCAGACATGGTCCTTTTCATCTTGGGTGAGGATAAAGGTTAGGATATAATATATATTTTTACCTCCACTGACGGCCGACCCAATTATTTTGATCAAATTAAGCAAGCTTTATTTCCTGTCAGTCACAGCTGTATTCCTAACGTGGGGTTTGAAAGAACAGCACTGAGCTTAGGAGAAAGCTGGGTTTATATAGCTTAGGAACTACGAGACTAGGGGGGTTTAAGGGTTGGGGGATTTCCCGGAGATAATTTTGGTTACATAGGAACTTAGTAGAACATCTCAAAATTATTTGGCAGAGAGGGCTGGAGAGATGGCTCAGTGGTTAAGAGCAGTGACTGTTCTTTCAGAGGTCCTGAGTTCAATTCCCAGCCACCACATGTTGGCTCACAACAATCTACAGTGAGATCTGATGCCCTCTTCTGACATGCAGGCATATATGCAAGTAGAGCACTCATATACATAAGTAAATCTTTAAAAAATTATTTGGTAGGATATCTTATCAGGTTGAAGGTCAAGGTATATAGGGTGTAGAACTTGTCAAATTCAGAAAAATGGGTCAAGACATGGTCAATCCCAAGTTGTACAGAAAACAGAAGTGAACTTATTTTGACCTTGTAACAAGATAGCTTCTAATCTTGGAGTTGGCTGGTCCATATATCATGCCAGGTGAGACCACAGATTTGAGTTTTCCAGGTGAATTGTCTTTGGAAATGGGGCTGTTTTTCAGAGTGACCCAAGCTTTTGTTCTATGATATCTATTTCTGCCAATGTGAAAGGCACTTGGATTCAGGTGGGGCCATGCCTTGTCGCCACCTCAGGTGAGGACGTTGTTATCATGAAATACGGTGTGAGGAGGGGAGGGTAGGTAGGGAGGTGGGGGGGAGTGTCTACAGGTGTTAGTGGTTTGGACATTGGAGCAGCTGACCAGGAGGGGCGAGTCGAGGGGACAGTGTTGGACTCTGGGGGATGCTGAGCCCTGAATGGTAGGGGGATTATTATTGGCAGGGGGTATGCAGCGAGGAGGTTCCTAAATGGGATGGAAAGCTAGGGAACTGAAGGTGGGCAGAGCAGGAAGTGTAGAGAGAGGGGTGAGTGTGAAGGGTGGAGAAGTTTCGGGTGGAGAATACCTCAGACTATTTGCCATTTTGTTTGAGAAGGTTGTCTAGGTTTTGTAAGAATGTTAAAGTCGAATGTTCCCAATTGGGCCCAGTGATGACCATTGTTGAGGGAGTATTGTGGCCAGCTTTGGGTGGACAACTGAATGACCTTGTGAGCTGGAGCTCAGTGAAACTGAACTTTCTAAGACCCAGAGACAAACCAAGGGAGAGTCCTTTGGAACAGATAGTTTAGATCCCATTACTTATTTTGTCTTGTTTTTATTGTTTTGGTTTTCCAGATAGGGTGTTTCTCTGTGTAGCCTTGGCTACCCTGGAACTTGCTTTGTAGACTAGGTTGGCCTCGAACTCACAGAGATCCACTTCCCTCTGTCTCTGAGTGCTGGATTAAAGGCCTGTGCCACCACTGCCTGGTTTAGATCCCATTTTTGAATTTGAAATGACAAACAGGATTGGTGAGAGTCTAATCCCACTGCCTCTTTGTCTCCAAGGTTTCTGGAAAAGGTGAAGACAGACTTGAGTATTAGGAGGGCCTGTCCTCATGCTTGTAAGACTCAGGGGAATCACAAAGCCAAATGTGGAAGTTTCCAGAACATCTAGGCCTTTGTGATCCATGATGAGTGAGAAGATCCCAGAGTTTCTGGGGTCTCTTCAGGGCACCTTTGAGTCAGATGCAGGCGGTTACCTTGTCCTGCAGAGTTTGGGGGCATGGATGGTAATGATCAAATGGCCAGAGTTACCTTCTCCTTTGTTAGATGTGAGGTTTGCAGACGATGAAAAATAACAGGGAAGTTCATACATTATAAACCCATGAGCTCTGCATGCGGGAAAACAGCCTGATGATCAAAGAAAGCAGCTATACCCCTACACCCAAGTTTAGGCCTGAGTTCTGTGGCCATGTAACTTACAGAATTAATCATAAGCCCCGGTATGCACCTTGAAAAAACAAAGTTGTAAAAGGAAATTAAATGATTCTCTTGCGTGTGAAGAAAAATAGATGGCTAGCCCACTGCTCATTTAAAACTCCTCTAGAGTGAAATTAAGAATAGAAATTTGTTCCAGGGAAATGGCAAACAGCTGCCTGCCGCTACAGAAGAAACTCGCTGGCTTAGAGCTTGTTAATCAGTAATAACAGAATCATTGCTTCGGGGAGAAGATGTTATGGTGGGAAAATTAAAATAAAGGAAAATGTTTAACTATTTGTGGGCTTCTAAGGAAAACATGTAACTTGTGATCTTAATATTTCTTCTTATGTAAAGATTTTAATTTGTTTTAGGAAAATGTTATGTGGTTATGAGGTAATCTTTCTTTGAATAGAAATCTTTGTCTTCGGTGGTATAAAAGGGATAAGGGGAAAATATAAGACAGAAAAAAAAAATCCAGCAAAGAGAAAAATAAAGCAAAGACTTAAGCTTTGGTTCTCAGACAACAGCTCTGTGTGTGAGTGTGTGTGTGTATGTGTGTGTGTGTGAGCCTGTGTGTGTGTCTATGTGTCGTGTGTGTGAGACTCTGTATGTGTCTACGTGTCTCATGTGTGTGTTTGTGTGTCGTGTGTGTGTGTGTGTGTGTGCACGTGCACACGCATGCATGTACGAGCATTGCACAGTCTTCTGGCACTGCTGAAAGTTGGTCTAACAGCAGCAGGAGGGAGGGAGGCTAAGGAGCCTGAAAACCCCAGTCTCTCCCCTGGGGCTTTTCAAACTCTGAAAGCTCTTCTTCCCCTGATTTAAGAGTCTGTAGGTTTGAACAAAGGCAGGCTGGCTGATTGGCTCACTAGTGTTGTGTAATTGTGCCCCTGATCTGGCTTTCCTTCATCCTACAGGTCCAGTACTGAGGGGGTTTTACTGGAGGGAGGGAGAAAAGCCTGCCACGCCTTTGTTTTTAAGCTGCCAGGCTTTGGTCCCAGGTCATGAGGGTAAGGAAATTTGTCATCACGTCAAGTCCCCTCTCCCAATCTGTCTGCCTAACTCCTAGTTGCCTCCGTGGGGTTGCCTGCCTGCTTCTGGGGTCACAGAAATGTTCTGTAGAGTTGGAGGAATATAATAGGAGATACTGAGTTTTTTTCAGTACACAACTAATCAAGAACCTCCCTGTTTTCCCCTTGTCATTGGCCCAGGAGCCTCCAGCTATTGAGGTTTTGGCCCCCACTTGCAAGCTTCCCAGGTGACGGGTGACACTAGAAATATAAACCTCAGCTTTGCCCTGTCCTGGAATTTAAATTACCATATGAAAAGGTGATGGTATCTGAGTTTTGCTCTAAATTCCACTCCTTGGTCTGGAGTGGAGACAGCTAACCAAATGAGATGGGAGGGGTTGTTACGGGATGAAGGAGGCATGTCTTTTTCCTTCCCAGAAGCCTCTTCCACCAGGCAGCACTGTCGAGCCTGTCATGGGCCACCTGCTGTACTAATTTAATGTTACAGAATTGGGGGGGGGGGCAGCACTCTAACTCCTAACCCTGTTCCCAGTCCAATGCAGCCAAGAATCCTGTATAAGCCAAGTAAGAGCCAAATTAGAGCCTGGCAGTGGTGGCTCAGGGCTTTGCTCCCAGCCCTCGGGAGGCAGAGACAGGTGAATCTCTGTGAGTTTGAGGCCAGCCTGGACTATAGAGTGGACAGACTCCAAAGCTCCAGAAAACCCTGTTTTGAAAAATCAAAAATAAAATAAAATAAAAATTAAAAAGTCAAATTAAACGTGTAAAGCAGAAAATGGAGATTTATCCAATGTAGCCACATTAGGAAGAGGGACAAAAAGATCCAACTAAGCTCCTATCTTCAATTCCCAGTGAACCCATCTTCAAATCCCAAAGTGAGATAAAAGTTTAAACTTTTGTTTAGTCTTTATTTTTATTTTATACGTATGAGTGTTCTTCCTTTATGTCTGAACAACACATGTATACAGTGCCAGTAGAAGCCAGAAGAGAGCATTGTATGTCCTATGGCTGGGGTTACAGATCATTGTGAGTCACCAAAGTGGGTGCTGGGAATGGAATATGGATTTGTTGTTAAATGACTACATTTCCCAGCTTCCTTTGCAGCCAGGTAAGGCAACTCCAAAAAGAGGGACTACCGGACGAAAAGTAAACTACTGGCTTCAGTCATTTCCACACCTAAAAAGGTTTGCAGTCATCTTTTCCCACTGGCAGAAGGCTCGGCTTCCCCGGCGTTAGATTCAGCCGCCCCTCGCAGTGTGCACCCATGAGGTGTGATCCCGTCGAATCACACCGCCCTCCTCTTTTTCTGCTTTCTCTCTTTAATCTGCCTCAGAAATCTGCCACTCTGGGATAATAAAAGCAGCTAATAACCCGTGGAAGGAGGATTATTAATAAGAGGTTAGGAAGTTGAGTGTGTCACCACTGGGGAATGTTCCCATGTTCAGCCCAGGATGTGATGTTAGCCACGGAATGCCGTAGCCTGACATTACGGAGCTGCACCAGGCACTTGGTAAACTGAGTCTTTGATCAGGAGTGCTCTTATTTTCATAGCGGTGGCGACAACTGCCACCAACCTGCCATCCGAATGTGTGCCTCACAGAGTCAGGAAGGAAAAGCCTAGGCACTTTCTGTTGGCTCAGTTTCCACTGTTGATAACAGAGGCTCAACTGCCTGTGCTATGGACCTAACTGGACCTGCAGTCCACCCACCCATCCGCCCTCCCACACATCCTCCCATCTGTTTCCTCCTGCTAACTGAACTCCACTTTGCAACTTCGCTGTCAAACCTGTGCCTTGCAGTGAGTGGCCCGACTTGCAGCCGCCTCACTGTTTCCAGTGTTTTCTCTGTTGTTTGGTTTTTCTCTGTTTACATTTCTACCAACTTCCTTGGGAGTCTAAGGACTTGTGAAGCCTCTCAACCTTGCTGTGACCTCTTAGGGCTTTTACAGCCGTTCTATAACCCACACATTTATTTACTATGCGATGTGGGTACGACTGAGTATTTGTTAACGTGGAAACCTAAGTGTTTGCCTCGGTCGGGTTATCAAAGAAAACAGGACTCTCTAGCAAATCGCTGTTGGAACATGGCCAAAAGAGTGACTAACGGTGAACAATGTGAGAGGCTCTAGGAAAACAAGCAAAAAAGCCAGGCAGTGGTGGCACACGCCTTTAATCCCAGCACTTGGGAGGCAGAGGCAGGCGGATCTTTGTGAGATTGAGCCTGGACTACAGAAAAGTCTGGAATGTTTGGCTGGGGACTTCACCCCAGATCCTGGCATCCATCTTGGAATGTTGAGTAGAAAGCTCCACTTCAAGCCCCTCCCCTGGGAGTTGCCTCAATCCAAACTCCACCTCCAAGAAAGCCATGCCCACAGGCTATTTAAACTGCCCCACAGAGAAGGACCGCATGGTCCCCCTTTTCCCTTGATGTGGTGGCTTGCTGTCCTTGTGGGACTCCTAACAAGAGAGTGGGGGTGCCTCTGACTCTTTTGCCTTTACTACTGGGTTGCCTTGTCCAGCCTTGATATGAGGGTTTGTGCCTGGTCTTATTGTCATGTGTTATGTCATGGTCAGTTTTGCCCCTGGAAGACCTGCTTTTTTTGGGGGGGGGGGAAAGTGGAGGAGTGGAGTGGATCTGGGGGAAAGGGGAGGGAACTGGGAGGAGTGGAAGTAGGGGAAACTCTGGTGAGGATGTAATGTATGTAAAGAATAAAAAATAAGGGATGACTCAGAGGTTAAGAGCACTGGCTGCTCTTCCAGAGGTCCTGAGTTCATTTCCCAGCAACCACATGGTGGCTCACAACCATCTGTAATGAGATCTGGTGCTCTCTTCTGGCGGGCAGGCATACATGCAGGCAGAACACTGTGTTATTCTTTCGGTCCCTGCCCTAGCCACGCCCACTCCTTTTTAACCTGTGACCTCGCTCGTCATCACTCTCTGTTTTTCCTGTTCTCTCTCCCGGTGTACACGCAGGGCTTTGCCTCTCTCCTCCTCTTCCCCCTCTTTCTCTCTCTCTCTCTCTCTCTCTCTCTCTCTCTCTCTCTCTCTCTCTCTCTCTCTCTCTCTCTCTCTCTCTCTCTCCTTCTCTCTCTCCCTCTTCCTTAATAAACACTTATGTCTATTTTTGTGTTTACGTGTCTGTTACCCTCCGCCACCAGCCGCGTGGCGCATGCCCTCCCGCTGGTGGGAAACTGTAGCCATTTTTAGGAATAAGATTGGTGCCACGTGACTCCCGGACCAGGTTCTTTTCCACTTTGCCAGCCCATGACCCACGTGTTCCATCTGCCTGGACGCAGCTCCTCCAAACAACAAATCAACTAATCGTGAGTGTCCCCATCTCGGCCAGGTTAACCATCTCTTTTAACCCAAGGGATTGACCGTTGAGCTCCCGGAAATTCTTCGCGGTTTCTAGGGATGGGGGACCTCCAACCATGGGCCTTCAGGGCCTCAATTGTTCCCTTCGCTGGCATTCAATTCGGCTTGTCTCCTGTGTTAAGCCTGTGCCTGAGACGGCGTGTCCTTAAAGCCCCTCAGCTCACCTGCGCCTGGAGGCCCGGGGTCTCCAGTTCTTCCTCTTTTTCTTTTTTCTTTCCTTTTCTTCCTCCTTTTTGTCATAACTGCTGCTACGGTACAGCAGTCTGCTAAGCTGGAGGCTCGAGTCGATTCAGCTAGGTTATAACACCCCCCCTTATGGAATCGGACGCCTTTTCATAGGGCCTTTGGGTGTTCGTGCCATCTGCATCCCGCCTTAAAGGGGAGCCGTTCTCGTTGTAGGCTTGAGGTGCCACAGTTTTTGCGGGTGTTTTCACGGCCTTGACCACGGGAGCCAAGCCATCCAGACCTATCACTCCGGCCTCATATTTTAATGCCTATCCGTTTCTGTCCAAATAAATGGCCCCATTAAAACTATACACGGCCGTTTTTCAGTTCCAGCCTTTTGCCCCTCCCCTCTGCGGCTTTTGTTGTGGCATGGCGGGCTTTCCAACAGAGCAGACTACACGTGGTGGTCGCCATCTTGTCTGAAGGCCAGATGGGTCAGGTGACCTTTTCGCCATCTTGGCTGAGAGCCAGGTCATGTGACCACACTCTCCTGGTTTTACCCTGCCTTCTCACCTGGTTTTCACCAAACTCCTTATGCTAACTCTGTTAAATGTGTTTTGAGCAATGGTCAAATGCCTTTGATAGGGCCTGTCAGAGGCATCCACATTGCCCAATTCTTGTTCACTCTATGTATAATAATTGTTTATTACATCTTATTTCAGACTACAAAACATGAGTCTTGTATTTTAGACTGGTATGTACCTTTAAGTCTCTTAGCTGTTCTCTACCATTGTCAGTTTTGCCGCTAACCTTATATTTCAAGCAGTTTTTCCCTCTCTATCTTTTTACAAATGTAAATCTTACCTGTTGAGAGCCAATTTGGTCAAGCTCAGACCCAACTTTCCAAACAAATTCTATTCTATAGTTATTCCTGATAAACAGCCCTCAACTGCTCAGAGATCTGGGGAATATGATATTTAAGTATTTAATTATTAAAAACTTTTCACAACAACAAAAAAGAGACAGGTTGGCTCCTAGCAGTAGCTCTCTGCTCCCTCCAAAGAAGACAGAAGACAGACACGCACAGAACAACGTCCTTCTGCATTTTGCTTCGACTGCAGAGCGCTGACCATTGGGAAAACCTGCCTTTCGTCTAAAGTAAAGACCTCTCTAGACGTGGACGGAATCGCTGGAATCGACAGCCTAGCTGCTCAGGTCAAGGTAGGCCTGTCTTCCTACAGATTTCTTAGCCCACAGGATCTTCTGGAGCCTGGCAGGCCCTGCGCTAAACAGCAAAGCTCAAGTGCAACCTTCCGTGACCATGGAGGACCCAAAAAGAGTAGCTCTTGGTGCCAACCAAGTAAGTTCTCTGTCATTTTTTAATCAGTAACTCAAGTAAAATCTTATCCTTCTCAAAGATCTCTGACAGTTTGACAGCTGAGAGGTTTCGCTAGGTTGAGGCTTTGCAAGGTGACCTCACCAAACAAATTTCAAATCAAATTTATCTCTTATGCCACAGTCATTATATGTCTAAAACTTCTGTTTTCACAAACCCAAGGAGTTCTTGTGAGTTCCAGGGAGCCGAATTAAGAAATCCACCTTAAACAGGTCAGCTACATCCCCCTCAATTTCCTGGTCCTAAAATTTTTTCCCTTAATTTAACTTTGTTCTTTGTTCTGCCAATACCTTAGGCCATGCCACAAACACCGGTCAAAAGCAAAGAGACCAGCTGTGCCAGGATGTTCCCAGCACCCCAGCCTTCTCTCGCGCCCCCCCAAAGACGACACCCACAATCAGCCGGAAGCAGTCTTGAGAATTCGCCGCCCCAATTCCTTCAAACTGGAGCGTCTAATTTGCTTTTTTATTAAAAGCAAGATGTGGGAATGTTATTCTTTCCGTCCCTGCCCTAGCCACGCCCACTCCTTTTTAACCTGTGACCTTGCTCATCATTGCTCTCTGTTTTTCCTGTTCTCTCTCCCGGTGTACACTCGGGGCTTTGCCTCTCTCCTCTTCCTCCCCCCCCTCTCTCCCTTTCTCTCTCTCCCTCTTCCTTAATAAACACTTATGTCTATTTTTGTGTTTACATGTCTGTTACCCTCCACCACGTGCCCTCCTACTGGTGGGAAACTAGCTATTTTTAGGAATAAGACACTGTATACATAATAGATAAATAAATGAAAAGAAAACCTATTTTAAAAAAAGAATAAAAAATAATAAATTAAAAGATTTTTTTGTGCATTATTAGGAGTATTCTAATTTAATTCTATCGTTATATGTTAAGATATTTCTGGGGCTAAGAGCTGGCTGAGTGGCTAAGAGCACTTGCTGCTGTTCCAGAGAACTGGAGCTTGGTCCCCAGCTTCTGGGGATTCCACTCTCTCTGAGGGTACCCACACACATGTGGCATATAATCACAGACATGTGCACACCTACTATCGTATTATCTAAGCAGCCAAATAAAAGTTTCCAGCAACTTAACACAATTTCTATCCTATGATTAATGGACGTTGTTTCATGTGAGGATTCAGAGGTACGCGTGAATGTGTCCTTATAGACCTGTGTCTACACAGATACTGACTGGGTCAGTCATCCTGAAAATTGAAGGCTAAAGGTTCAAAGCAACAATAATTACACACCATGACTATTATATGGCTCAAATATCAAATGGATTTGATATTTATACAAATTACAGACTCTAAGGGCATTTCCAGTTGATGGAGAAACATGACCTCAATGATCTAAAAGCCTGATTGACTAAAACACATCTCTTCCTAACCCTGCCCCCCACCCATACCCACTGTGATGGCCAGTCTTGGTTGTCAGCTTGACTGTGTGTGGAAGCAACTAAAAACCAAGGCGAGAACACCTGGGAGGGATTTTTCTTGACTGGATCATTTGAGGTGGAAGACACACCCTAAGTCTTGCCTACACCCTTCTGGTGGTAGTCTCCATAAAAGTCACTCTTGTTGGTAAGTTCATCTGTCCTGTGGCTGAGGCATTCCTTCACTGGTGTTAGAACCCACTTCTTTGGGGTTCCAAAGTAAATTAAAGACCACTTGAGACATCCAGCCTTGTGGAGTGGCCAGGTATTGGAGTTCTTGTTGGACCTGCAGGACCACAGCCCGTAAGGCACTCTAGTAAGTCACATACACTACATATATACTAGTCAGGGTCACTGTTGCTGTGATGAAGCTCCGTAGTCAAAGCAACTAGGTGGAGAAAGGGTTTATTTGGCTTACACTTCCATATCATTGTTCTTCATCATTTGAAGAAGTTAGGACAGGAACTCAAGCAGGGCAGGAACCTGGAGGCAGGAGATGATGCAGAGGCCATGGAGCAACGCTGATTACTGGCTTGTTCCCTGTGACTTGCTAAGTCTGCTTTCTTAGAATTCAGAACCACCAGGCCAGGAGAGGGTCCACAGCAGGCTGGGTCCTCTCCCATCAACCACTAATTAGGAAAATAACCTACAGGCTTGCCTACAGCCCAATCTTAAGGAGGCATTTTATTTTTTGTTTGTTTTTGTCTTTTTGACTTTTGAGGCAGGGTTTCTCTTGAAACCAGGCTGGCCTTGAACCCACAGATATCTGCCTTCCTCTGCCAATCACAAAGATTTGAGGAGAAAGACCACTAACCCAAATCATTATGGCCAAAATAATTAAAACAAAGTTTTTTTTTTAATTCATGTACTCTGACTGCCTCCCTCCCCCTATGGTGGGATTTAGGAGGTCAGCATTAGAGGAGGGGGATGATAAAGTTTTGATAGCTTAGGGGCAGGGGCTTTCCAAATGGGGGGTTGGCAGGCTAAGTGGCTGGGTTACAGACACAGGACGTAAAAAGGTGGGCATAACAGGGGAGCCATAGCAACAACTGATTATAATAGTCTGAAACAAAAGCAGGGTTGCAAGATGATCTTATCAACTTTTTGAAACAAAGAAATGGTTGCTGTTTCCTGGAACAGGCAATATATAACCATTTGTAATTAAGGTTACAGGTGGGGAATAGCCCAATCCTTGAGAAACAGGAGTTTAATCATAAACAGAAATGAGCCTAGTTTGTCTTTACTATAAGATGGCTTTCAAGCCAACAATGGAGGCGGGCTGGCTCATCAGTATCCACTTCATGAAAATCCCAACAGAGGTCTGCACCACTGTATGGTAGTGGAGCTGGGTACCCTGACACTTCCAATAACCGTCTGGTACCTAGAGTCACCCCAGCAGGTGTGTGTGGGGTGTAGGAAGCACCAGCTCTTTAAACAGGTGTGTGTGTGTGTGTGTGTGTGTGTGTGTGTGCACACGCTGGCTACAGGGAGCACCAGCTCTTCAAATACTGGGGATCTAAACGGATCACTAATAAGACTTGCTGCAAACGGGGCCCGTGGAGGCTCCTGCCTTTAATCCCAGCACTCGAGATGCAGAGGCAGGACAGCTTCTAAAGCTACAGAGAAACCCTGTCTTGAAAAACAAAACAAAACAACCCCCCAAAAACAAAACAAAACAACAACAACAACAACAAAAGATTTGTTGCAGCTGTTAGGTCTATGGGAGTTGTGTAAAGATGGGAACAGACCATCAAAGTCTAGTAAACTGAAGCAAACTTTATTCCAGGAAAAAACTAAAAATTAAAAAAATAAATCTCCATGGGACACAAAAAGCTTATCAGATAGCTGAGACCACAGCCAGAGATAGACTTGTAAGGCTACTGCAAAAGATGACTTTCTTTCTTTTTTTTTTTAATTTTTATTTTTTAAATTTTATTAAGAAAGGCTAAACATATTCACTTGTCAATTTTTCTTCAGCTCTAAGGAAATAGTTTTAAAAAACATAAAGTTGAAAGTACACTCAAGAGGAACTGCTGATACACAGTTCTGAAAAGGCAGAAAATGTGCTTTCCTTTTACACAAAAGGTTAAATCTGTATTAGCAGCAAATTTTTTAAAATATTTATTTATTATGTATACAATATTCTGTCTGTGTGTATGCCTGCAGGCCAGAAGAGGGCACCAGACCCCATTACAGATGGTTGTGAGCCACCATGTGGTTGCTGGGAATTGAACTCGGGACCTTTGGAAAAGCAGGCAGTGCTCTTAACCTCTGAGCCATCTCTCCAGCCCTAGCAGCAAATTTTATACATAGAAATAAAGCTGGGTTTAAAACTCCAGATTTGTGTAAAGACAAAACACATTTCTTCCTTATCTAAATTAACTCATGAGCAGAGAGAGACTATCCATATTAACACAATCAGAAATTAAAAGGGTTGTATAACAGACACTAAGGAAATCCAGAGGACCAAATCCAGAGGACATCCAAAAGACGGTTTTCAAACGCCCCCTTTGTAAAACAAGAAGCAACAAGCATTAGGTATGAGCAAAAGAATTTTTACAATCTTTAGGTGAAACTTAGAGACAAATTGCCCTTCTTTGCAGTTTCCAGTAACAGGCTTTTAGTTAGACTAGTGCTTGTATTTTAGGTTTTTGTTTCTCCTTGATGCTCCCTGATGGTGCTAACCGAAGCTCTGCACCCCACAGTGCTGACCCTTTCACAGAGCAGGGACGATGCCGAACCCAAAAGTCACGTACATCCCACCCTCTAAAGGTTAACTTAGCTCATATCCGTTGTTGATCACGGGTGGCTGGGGTGTTATTTTAGGGTTAACTCTCAGTTTGCAGAGCTGACCCTCAGTTTGCAGAGGGCCGCTGCAGCCTTGCAGACAGAGATATGGGTTGTAAAACAAAATAACCCACTGTTAATAGTTAATCCTTAAACTGCTGAGAAAGCTGCTGACAGTCTGCTCTCATTCTCCTAGGCTTACAACTTTGCATTTCTTTATTTCTACATTCTTATTTCCGGAATCTACATTTCTATATTCTTACTCTTGGACTCTACACAGCCACTGGGTCACTCAGCACAAACACAAACTAAGAGGCCAGCACAAGATGACACGTGAAAACAACTGTTTCAATTCAAAGTTCACTTTTAGAGAAACACATCTCTCTCTCTCAAACACACACACACACAAAGGTAATAAAAAAGACTTTAAAAAGAGAATAGAGAAATGTTTATTCATTGTGACTATGTTGAGCAGAGGAACAAATAAAGGGGTTCAGTTGTCCCCAATAGAGAGAGAGCTAAGAACCCAAAAGCCTTAAGTTAGCTGAGAAATTCCTGCCGGGAAAGTTTTTGCGCTGTGAACATCTTTAAGACGTTGGGATCCAGAAACCTCTGATAAGATCAACATACCAACCCTGGCTGATATTTACCACTTTGAGACTGTGAGGAACAGATTTGCATACGGAATCTCACACCCCCAGAGTTCTCTTTGCTGCGCTATGAGCCTCCAAACCCTCGCCCTCTGCACCTGGGTGCAGTCCTCTTCCGCTCCAAGGAGACTGGAGACTGCTGTTCTTCTTGGTTCTGATTAAAGGACAATTTGGTTCTATGGAGGTCCGGCTCCTCTTCTTTTATTTTCAATTCATTTCAATCGATTCTGATCTAACACCCAGGTCCTTCCTTAGTGTACTTGTTGGGGGATATTCGATCACATTGTGAACCCCGAGTTTGCATTTCCATTGACTAAATAAAATTAACCTTGGGTCAGGAGGTTGAGTTAGCAGCTGGTTGACTGGTTGACAGAAAGTAATCAAAGAGTATCAGAGGGCATCTGGGAGAGATAGGGACACACCAGAAGTAGTAGGGAGGGAGGGAATTTGAGTGGCGTGGCCTTTTCTGGTTTGGTGGAGAGGAAGCACCGGTCTTTTGGAGAGGCCAGCAAGGAGAGAGGGTTAGTTAGTTGTGACCCAGCTTCTCTGAACTTGCAGGGTTTCACCCCAGCCTTTGAATCTTCAGTCTTATTTATAAACAGAACCATAGAGATTTAGTTAAAGCCACCTTCAGTTGCAGCAACAGAGCAGGTGCCCGCAGGAAGAGAATTCCCGCCAGGCTGCAGTCTGAGCAGCAGGGTCACAGCTAGAGAATCAGGCTGGTAACTGTGGAGTCACAGTTGTTGGCTGAAGTAGCAGTAGATTAAGACACCGCCACTGTGTTGAAGATAAAACAACAGGCACTGTCATGGGGTTTGGGTTTAAAGAGAAGGCAAGAAATATGCATATCTAAAGTGTAATGATTCAGCCATACAACATGGCTCACACTTCCGGGTTCCAGGGTCACGCACGTGCGGACCAGCCCTCAGGCAGAAGTGCCTAATGGCCCGGGAATC